GGACACTAAACAAGGAAGAAACTAATGTGTTAGATCCAACGAATAATGGAGCGTCAGTCGCTATCGAACTTTCATTATACGCATTGAGCAGGAAGAAGAATCTGATGATATTTGTTTGTTTGTGATGAAGAACCTCCAAAATACATTTGGTTCAGGTTTTTTGTTGCAAAAATATCAAACCTGAAACTGGCTCTGTTTCCTTTTCCTCTGTTTTTCAAGTTTTGTTTTGTGAGTTAATCTTTGTATCCATCTTAGAAACGTTCAGTGGAGTTGGTGAGGGAGAGAAAGTGCAGCTTTCCTTCTTGTTTGCGTTCAGTGGAGAGGTTTCTTGGGTTGCAAGATAAGATGGTAATTAGAGATTTCATTAGTGACAACTCATGTTACTTTGCAAAATATTATATACATATAAGTTACTTATAGAAAAAGATATGTCAAGAAGAGGCAAATGAGTTTCGTCAGCTTTGGCATTATCAAACGCAATCACAAATCTCCCAGCTTTCTGTGTTTGGAGATCAACAGCGTTTAGAGCCAATGTCTGAGAATAGTAAAGAAAATATAGTTGAATTCTCTCCAACAGAAGCAAAACAAACAATAATTCTTTTGAAAAATAATTCAAGACTCAAACATTAATATTTTGTTTCGTTTTTTTTTTAGCAGAGTGAAGCAGATCAAGATTCAGATGGCTCTTGACAACAGTAATTCTAACTTGCAGTTTGTCATAAGCATTGTGTTGATGAAGTAAAAATGTAACGCTCCATTCAAAGCCTTCCAAAAGAAACAACTTAAACAAAGTCAAAGAAACAAGAATGCTATAGAGATCTTTAAAGACTCTTTAAACTTTGTCATTACAAACAAATTAAAATGATTTGTAAAATAAGAGAGAAAGCTCACACAAAAACTGTAAACGAGAAGTCGCATTCACAGCCAAAACTAGCTGGATTCTTATGAAGACAAATTCAGCCAACATCATCATCTAAAAGACAAAGAGAACCAAATTTGTTACTGCTCTCAAACGTACGACGATCTTGTTTCTTGTGATGATCTTTTTAAGATGTTCTTGTGTTGGAAATACTCTTAAAAGAAAGTAATTTCGTCTTTCGAGTACGAGTCAATCATTATCCAAGTTCACCGAAATTACGTTGATAACAACATCTTGTGGGTTTACGCCGCTTTTGTTTTGGTCGGCTTATATATGTTACAGCATATGTTATCTTCCCAATATTAAACTGAAGATCCATCAAACGTCAAAGTCCTTACAACTAATGACTAAATGATTTTTTTTTTTTTTTTGACAGAATCATTTTGATTTGTATTCTTTTCAATCATTCAAGAAATATTAAAGATGTAACTCAAGAAAATCAATAGATAACCATAAATAGCAAAATGCTAAAAAGTCACCAGAGTGATAAAGCTCACACGAATAAATGAAATCTGCAAATGACAAGTCACACAATAGACTCTATTACAGGAATTTGGCTTGGCCTCCAAGATCAGTTTAGCCAAACAACAAAATCGACAAAAAGATAGACTCACTCTAGCTCAGCTAATGATACGTACTTGTTCTTAAGGAGGAATGTCACCTTCGTGGTTGATCTTCACAGATTGAGCATAGAAGCTTGACTTGAGTAGCTTTGCATCGTTAGCATTGAGATCCTCTACATGGTCTACGAAGGCGTAAACTGTCCCAAATTTCTCAGACTCTCCAAAACCTTGGATTTCAACACTTTGGAAAGTGTTCCTCTCGGGATTGAAATAGAAAACACAAAACAGTACTTCATCATCCTTATGGTAGTACTTCGACAAAACTATTTCGCCAGTAGCTGTCATTCCAGCAACACCAACAACCCAAAGATTGCAGTCATCAATGATTTTATTGGGCAAAGTGTAGACATGTTTCGACCATTCCTGTTTCTCGACATCCTCTAGAAGACACATATGCAAGTGATAGGTTTGACTTCCACCAACGTTAGCATACACCAAACTAATCCCACCTAGTTTACCCTTATAGTTTATCAATTTAGTGATAACTTGATCACGAAAGCATTTTGCATCAATAAACTTGAATTCCTCAGACCTAACATCAAAGCAAACTATCACCAAATTAGACTCATAACCTTCACCATAAATTCTAGACAAGGAATACAAAACCCCATTTATACATATCCCTCCACTCTCTCCACTCAAAGGTTTATGGGTTGAGGGACAATGGATCTTCCTCCACATCATTTTTTCAGTTCCTATTGTTAGAATTCTATGGTCATCACTGCCAACACTACGAGGATAACGCATAGACAATACCTTGAATTGCTTGTCGATAGGATCAAACATGAAAAAGCTATACGACTTTCTATAACATGTCTGTTTAGGTAAGATCGCATACTGTTCCGTGATAGGGTTACATATCACAGACAAAATCTCTTTTGAGAAGCTTATATAAGAGAAATAGAGCAAACCAGAGACATAACAACGTGACAGTAATTCCCCTCGACTGCTAGTATAGATATTGTCTCCACGGAACTTGGTATGAAAATCGGCGGTTACTACAAGAGACTTCTCATATAGATTCTGAGGATGAGGCGACGAGAATAAGCTCCACCCATCACTCTTTGAAGTTTCGACGGCGAATAATATACGTGGACGAGCCCGTGATCTAGTCAAGAACAACTCGGTGAAATACTGACGGTGAAGCATAGACCCCCATAGCTTCGACACACAACAAAACCTTCCGATTGACTTTGCAGGCAATCTTGAGAGTATCTCGGTAACGAGATCAGTTGGGATGGGTTCCAAGTTTTCGCCTCTTTTCAACGACTTGAAAGAACGTTTATTGCCTTGGGACATGGTTGCCTTGTGTTACAAGCAAGCTCGTTCTAATTGATTTACACCGGAGGAGAAGAATAGAAGAGGGTTTAAGCTGTATAAAACCCTAATTAAGTAACAAACGAGGAAGATCCATCAAGGATGCGCAAGGCACGTGGCACATATAAG